GATAATAAACATTACATTGCAACAGATGAAGGAAATAACTGTTTAAAAGAAATATATGATTACGCATTATACATAGGACAAAAGCCCAGAATAAGAGGTACATTGCAAAGAGGACTGGAGGGACAGGAATGTACAGCAATGAATGAATATTTTTTTTTAAAAAGGGAACTGTAGGGGAGGAAGGGATTGGGAGTAAAATGCGTAACAATGAATGAATGAAAATCTAACTTTCTTTAAACTTTCGTTAAAATCACAATTAAAAGAAAAAATATTAAAAAAGAATGAGGAAGTGAGAATCACAGGAAGCAGGAAGATTGTTGTTATGATGTGGGGGTTGTAATTCAGATTGTAAAACAAAATGTGTATAAGTGATTGAATTGAAAACCAACTTACTCTGTAAAGCTTCACTCAAATCACAATAATTTTTTTTCAAAGAGTGGGGAAAAGAATCCCTACCAAAATACATCATCTTAGGCCATCATTATATGTTTCTTCTCAATGCAGACACATTGCCATTGAAGAGATGGGCCTCCAGTGGAGCTCACCCCAGCACCCCAAGGCCCTGAGGCATGGCAAAAGCAAGGAGACTTGTTCATAAATGTCTGCACAATGACAGTAAAAGGATCTGAAATTATTAAATGACACATAAACATACAACTTAAGAAATTATCTTATGATTATTTTACATGCAAATAATTGCTCAACCTTAACCATGTAATTAAGACAAATATAACTTTCCTTTTCAAACAACGTCCTTCAGGCTCCATCTGCCTCTTTCTGACTCATCTTCCTCAAGTCATGACGGGGCATCCATTTTAATCTAGTTTCACTAGCGAAAACATGCTGAGAAAAGGGAGAGGCACAGATGTGTTCTTCACCGATACTGCAATCTAGAAATAGTCCTGATACTCAATCCAACTACACATTGAGATTAACTTGGTAGAGATATTACAACATAAATTCAAACAAAAAATTCCTGGAGCAAAGAGACGGCTTCAACATACACAGGATGGCAGGGCAGGCCCAAAACAATGCCAGCATATCTCTGAAAATTTATCTAGTTTTCCAAGTATCACCAATTATCAAAATAATTGGGACTATCATGGTGGTGGGTCCATGGAAAGTGTTTGTTCACTAACCAGAAGGCCCATGGGTCAAGGACACCAGCTGTTTCAAAGGAGAAAAAAAAATGCTGTCTGCATCCATAAAGATATCAGCCTTAAAAGCCTAATAGGGCAATCCCACTCTGTCCTAGTATCACTACAAATTGGAATTGGCCCACATTGGTTTTGGGGGAGTAGTGCAAACAGTATGAGGCTCTGATAACCTAGTTGGTAAACAGTCGTGCTGCCAACCCAAAGGCGGGAGGTTCAAACCCACCAATTATTACTCCAAGAAAGAAGATGGGCAATGGCCCGTGTGCTGTACAGCCTCTGAAAACCCAGTGGTGGGGGGGGGAGGGTGTCAGATATGTGTTGGCTCTGACTTCATGACGTACAACAACAAGGGTGCAAACAAAACATTCGGCTGCTCAGAGACGTGATGAGCTGACCAGAACCCAATAAAGAGAAGATGATCCATGCTGTGAGCCAGGGTCAATTGCTGCAACCTGAGGGCTGGCTCTGGGCTGGTCTATGCTTTGGATGCAGAGGCTCAAAGTTTCCAAGTTGAACAGAGGACCCTTCAGCAAAAGGGACAGGTTTGTTCCCTCAGAGCACTGGCTCGAGAGGGATGGGTAAACCAAAATTGACTATATGAAAAGGGAATAGTAGTAGAGCATGAAGCATAAAGGAGCTGGCTTGCATGATTTTACAAAAGTAGTTATTAAGTAAGATGACTGTAAATGGATAAAAAAACCCTCAATACAAATTAACAAAATATAATGTAAATTACAGACTAACATGCAGGCACACACACATGCACACACAATACAAGGACATAGTCATTAATCACTCATTAATATTTAATAAGGCACTAACATGGTAAAAAAAATGGAAAGAAAAACAAACCCATATAACCCCATGTGACTGCTAACTGAAAAATTGGAGGTCTTATTCTACTCATTAGTTTTCAGAAGAAAAGTTGGTGACCTATTCCTGGAAAATCAGTCAAGAAAACTCTCTGGAACACAGCTCTCCTATCACACACATGGATTACCACTAACTGGGAGCAACTCCAGAGCAACTGGTTCAGCAGCCTCTAAAGTAAAATGGCACTGACATTGAGGTTGGAGGGAACCTAAGAAAAAAGAGGGTAAATAATGTACACTGCATTGAAACAGATGAGGGAGAGAACTGTTTAAAAGGAATATAGGATTAGGCATTGTTTTCATGAGATATTACAGAAAAAGAAATGCATATTAAAGTGGACTGTGGATTGGGTGGGGATTGTGTAACAATGAAAGATTTTTATTTTTTTTCTTCAAAGAGAAAAACGAACTGGGGAAGGGTTGGGCAGGCAGGAAAATGTGCAATAATGAATGAATGGGGGAAAATTAAATAGAAAGAATATGCTGTAAAAATTATATATGTTGCATTAAAAAATAATGAATTAAAAATATTTTAATAAAAAAGAAGAAAGAGAGAAAAAAAGAATGAGCAGAAAACCCACTCCGTAACAACACAGATTCCCTAACAGCCAGGAGAGGTGGGTTCAGACATCACAGTCAGTGAGCTTAGTCAAAGAGCCCTGGATCTATCGTTTAGCTTCAAACTCTTGAGAGTCTCATTAAAAAATTTAAAAAAAAAATCACATTCTAAAACAAAACTATGTCCAATCATTCTTGGATTGTAAGCCTTAGCAACAGTCAGGAGCCTTTCCTGACACACTTATACTTGTTTCTAAAGATCAGCGTCTTCTCTGTGATGTAGTTTTGCCTTTCTTCTTGCAAACTATGTTCACACTTGTCTTCCACATGGGGAAGATCTTGTAAACTTTCCTGTGATAACTGGGTAAGCACTGCATCCTCTGACTAAGTAACATGAACAATTAAAAGAACATTGCTTCTTGTGTCAAGTATCTTACATATATTTTCTTAGTTCTTTGCAACAGCTTGAAGTAAGCAAAGTAAAGCAAGCAATCATTGCTATCAAGTCAGAAACAACTCATAGCACAACTGACCCTTCAGCAGATTTTCAGGGGCTGTAAACTGAAGGGAAGGAGGCTGCCCCTTTTTCTCCCTTGGTATAGCTAGTGGATTTGAACAGCCTGCCTTTGGGATGCCAGGGAAATGCTTTACCCACTAGAGATCATATTTAAACTGCTTTTTACAGACAAGATAACTATATTTCCAGATTTTAAGTCACTTGCATAAGTTAAAAACTAGGAAGTGGTGAAGCCAACATCCAAACCCAAGCCCGTGGATTGAAAGCCCTTTCTCTCATCCACAGTACCTATAGAAAGAACTAAAAGAGCTGCTGGCATCACTTGGTTTCTCATTTCAAAAGAAGAGGCTGAAGCTCCAACTCAATATGACTACGGCAGCCACTTCATTCTCCATTGCCTTCCACTGATTGATTTCCCAGCTACTCCCTCTAACTCCCATCTATTTTGACTATTTTGTTGACTCTTTTACTCACATCTTACACATCAGTGTTCATCAGGAATCCCTCTCAAGCCTTCCTGCCTAGTGAGTCTCTCTTAGTATTTTGTAACCTTGTGAAAGTTACATCAAAATAGGTCCAGTCCAAAGCTCACTGCTATCGAGTTGATCCAAACTGATAAATTCAACTCACTGGCATGACTCCAAGCTGATTTTCCAGTGGGTTCTCAGAGGCTGTAAATTACACATAAGGTGAATGTTCATTTTTCTCCCATGGAACAGTTGGGAGATTAGAACTGCCTACCTTTGGGTTGGCAGGACAACTCTTCACCCACTAGGCCACCAGAGTTCCTGTACTGAAAAACAGACTGCCACAATTAGTGATTCTCTCTCCATCTAAGTGAACTTACTTCATACATCCATTCTTTCCACTCTGAATGATTTGTGATTTAGACCCAACTGAAGTATATTCTAAAATCCAGCAATTCTCATTTTCTTCATGATATGTCACAGAACTTCGATACTCACTTGTATCTAAAATCCTATTCCGTTTTCATGTCAGCTTTGAACCCACTCCTTCAATCCTTCATACCACTTGAGCCGTCTTCAATTCAGGCCAAGCAGAGATTTGCCCTGACTAGACACACTCTCTCATAATCCACAAACCAGGCCATCCCTGTGTCAGTCAATTCTTCTGAAATGGCCCTGTGTCCAGTGTCCTCTCCATTCCGAGGGCTGCTATCCAGATTAAGGCTCTCTTTGCCTCTCCTGGGTCTAATGCCATCACCTTCTATTAGTTTCCCAAAATTTGCGGAAATTCACCACTGGCAATCTGAGGTTTTATACTGCAACAAACGAGATGCTATTTTAAAAAAGACGTGGCCACTTCATCCATACTCACACTTCCTCCTACTTCAGAGTAAAAGCTTGCCCCTGGGAATTGACTGAGGCCCCTTCAGAAGTTATCTTGCCTAGTTGTCCACTTGTTATCATCCACCTGACACTCTTGTTTATTCTGAAACACCTGCTATTCCTTCTGTACCTAAGCCATCCTTCTATTTACCACTGCTTCCTCCAGTTCCTTTGCATCCCTGCATACATACCCCGTTAACATGACTAACAGCTTCTCCCTGAAGCAGAAAATTAGATAAAGAATTTCCAGTCTCAACCCTTCATTCTTCCCTATAAACAGAGCAGCCTGAAAAGAGAGATAAGACCACTATCCTGGCCTTCTGATATCCTCACAGTGTTAGCACCACTTTTGCTTCAAGTGCAGTGAAAATTAAATTTCTAAATTTCGTCTGTAACTTTGACGTCACTGTGAACTGAAGAAATAGTTACTTTTAGGCACTAAAGAATAGTCATCTATGCATGCACATTTATACTGTGAGAAATGCCTCCCTAAAGAGATACAGATTTGTGTAAGCACACAACGCATCACCCTGAGCTTGGTACCAACCTCCGCTGCTCGTCCCCATGGTCGCCGGCAGGCACAGTGAGGCATTCATCCATGTGGCCATGCAGCAGCCGGAGAACATCCCCACCGATCAGATACCCTGGAAAGAGAAGTCATTTTCTGTGACAGCCAAATGTCATTGGTCCCAAATCCTAACTTCATATATAGAGATAGAGAACTCTAGTGGGGCTTAAGGCACTTGAAAGGGCCACAGAGAGAGATATATCAGGTGCCAGCTCAGCTCCAGGCTCCTGAACCCACAGTCAGTAATGTTCTCACCATAAAACAACAAAAAAATACTGCCATCTAATCAATCCCAACTCCTGCGAGCCCCACCCCATCAGGTTCCCCAAAGTACCAGCATTAACAAGAGGAGGTTGCCTCATCTTCCTCTCACTGAGCAGCTGATGGCTTCAACCTGCTAAACTTTCTGTTAGAAGTCTAACACTTAACCTACTACCTCACAAGGGTTCCTATGACTGCCATAACGCCCCTTGCTAAAAATGTAGAAAAGGCAGAGGATCAGATATGCATGTAAAGTAAATAAAAATAACCAAATCCACTGCCCTCAAATTGATTCCAAATCACAGTGTCATCCATAAAGTTTCTGAGGCTTTAAGTCTTAACAGGAACAGGCTGCTTTATGTCTCACCCATAGAGGGATTAGTGGATTTGAACCATCAACCTTTTGATTGTTGTTGTTAGGTGCTGTCAAGTCAAGCACGACTCATAGCGACCCGTGACAATAGATCGAAATCTTGTCCTATCTTGTGCCAACCTCATTGTCTCTCATCTACTTGAGCCCATTGCTGCAGTCACATCAATCCATCTCAAAAAGCCCAGAAATTGAAATTAAGCATCTTCAAATGTGAGTCTCAGAATCTTTATATTTTTAATTGACTTTCATAGTATGAAGCATTCCTAAGGGTATCATGGTGGCACAGTCAATTAGGGAGCTGCCCTGCTGACCCAAACGCGGCACTTCTCTCTGGTGGTTCAAATCCATCAGCTGCTTCGTGGAAGAAAGGTGGACAAGCTCCTGTGTGCGACATGCAGCCTCTCAAAACCTGCCGGAAGCGGCAGTGCAGTGTAAAGGGAGGTGAAAGAGTTCCTATGGGTGTCAATGGTTAGCATGCTGCTTAAATCAAAAGGTGGGAGGTTGGGGCCATCTATGCTCACATGAAAAGGCAGGCCTGATGACCTGCTTCTGAAAAGCCGCCCACTGGATACTCGGTGGAGCATAACCCTGAGCTGACACACACAGAGCTGAGTCAGAACTGACTCGGCGGAAAGGGAATTAAGTGGGGACAATCAGAGCAAATGAAATATTAGCCCTGCAAACGCTGCTCTGCAAATACTATTCTGATGCAATCATAAGGCTCATCCTCCGGAAGGAGAAACCTTGGCAGGAGGCTGACTGAATGGTATGCTGAGGCTGGCGACGAGTAGCATATAACCCCCAGAAAGTGAGCCCCAAACACACATAGAAAGGTGAAAGATGACAATGGCATTTTAAAAAAAGGAAAAGTTATTTATTTAGCAATGGAAATGAGATTTTTCTAGTAGCTTTTTGAGGAAGAGAGCTCGGGTGGCCTAATGGTAAGGAGCTTTGTTGAAATCCCAAAGGCACACAGTTCAAATCCACCAGCTGCTCTGTGGGAGAAGGATGGGCAATCTCCTCCTGTGTGATTTACTGCCTCTGAAAACCCATTGGAGTGCCAATCACAGGGCGAGTCTGACTCAACAGGACATAAAAACACCACGACTGAGTAAGGAGTTACCAATCCAAAAGCAAGCAGTTCAAATCTGCCAGCTGCTCTGAGAAGGATGGGCAATCTCCTGTGTGATTTACTGCCTCTGAAAACCCACTGTAGACTCAGCTAAGGGCCAGTTTAGACTAAACGGTACACAACTGTATACAACTGAATTATGCTGCCAGTTCAAAAGCAAGTGGTTCAAATTCATCAGCTGTTCTTCCTCCGGTGTAATTTACAGTCACTGAAAACCCCACTGGAAGGTCAGCTCTGGGTCAGTACAGACTCAAGGGCCATGAGTGTCCACATTACATAGCCTGATGATGCTGATGCTGACAAGCCATCATTCCAGCACTCCCACATGACTGTCACTCTGCATGAAGAAAGGCCACTGTGACTAGAATGGAAGTCTTACCTTGGGCAGTCTCACTCCCTGAGCTGATGGGGGCCACGCTCCATAGGGTCTGCTGGAAGGCTGCATCTACATGCAGGCTGCCACTGCCGTAGGACAGGTGCTAGAAGAGAGGAGAGAGAAGCTTCACCATGGGCCCTCACAGGCCTCAGCACACAGCGCTCTGGATACCCAGACCTTGCATTCCAGAACGGCACTGTCCAAAAAGATCACATTTCCATGCTATCCTTCAGAAAATAAGACACAAGTAGAAAATCAATGTAACAGTCTCATTTGCACCTACATACTTTTTAGCTTCATTCAAAGAATTCCTAACTTGGACCAGGCAATCAAAACTCACGACCAGGTTAGAGGATTCAAAATATCCAAATACAGTGGTGAATAATCAAAAAGGAATATATTTCTAAAACCAGGCTATGGTTGAAGGCTGACAGGACAGGGATCAAGAACTTATAATTGAAATTCTCATCTTTCATATGTAGCACTGAATCTCTGCTGAAGCAGCCTCTTCATCTTACGTGGACCTTCAGGAACCACTGCAAAACAATATAACAGCCATTCGAAGGTACTGTCGAGGCAGCTTTGCCTCGTGTTGTTGTGGACCATAGCGTCGGAACTGACACACGGATGAACCCCTTGTGGGTTTTCGGAGGCAGTTAACCACACATGAGCAGACTGTCCAAATCTCTCCCGCAGAGCACCTGGTGGATTTGAAGTGCTCACTTTGCATTTGCAGTGTAATTCCTTACCACCAAGCCACTATCAATCCCGAGAGTACTGGTTTGAAGACACCAGCTGCTCTGCAGAAGGATGGGCAACCTCCTCCCATGCAATTACTTACATCTGAAAACCCACTGAAGGGTCAGTAATGGATCGGTTCTGACTCTACAGCACACAACAAACTCACACACACACAAGAAGTCACCACAGGTATCACAGAACAAATCACTCAGTCCCATGCCATTCTCACAATCCATGCAGAACCTGAGCCCACACTAGCTACTGTGTTGATCCATCTTAATGGGAGTTTCTGTCTTTTTCCACTGACCTTCTCCTTTATCTACTATGATGATTCTGTCCAGTGATTGGTTTCTCCTGATGAATACCCAAAGTAAGCAGGACAATGTCTCATCATCCTTGATCCTAAGTCGCATTCTTACTATGCTATCTTCAAAACCAGCTCATTCATTCTCTTGGCTGTCCATCATATAACCAACCTTCTCCACCAACACCACAATTGAAAGGCATCAGTTCTTCTTTGATCTTCTATCTTTGTCCAACTTTCCTATGAATACAAGCTGATGGAAAACATCATGGCTTACGTCAAACACATCTGTGTTTTGTATTTAAGCAAAGTGACATATTTGCTTTGTAACACTTGAAAGAGGTCTTCTACAGCACAAATATCACCACTGTAATAAGTCGTTTATTAGCTTCTACTGCTATCAACTATAATTGATTCAAACAGAAGAGTCGCTCACTTCACTTTCCTCACCATTTATCCATGAGGCTTTTACTGATCCAGTTGTAAGAATTTTTGTTGTCTTTAGATTCAGCTTCAATTCATGCTAAAGCTGTAGTGTTTCATATAACTCAGCTTCTCATTTTATTTGATCAGCATACAGATTGCATAAGTAATATGAACAAATACAAATCTGCCATGTACTTTCCCCATTTTTAAAATTTAATTTTTTAAAAAAATTATTTTATATTGGTTTACTTACAACATTCATCTACATTGTGTTTCACACTATTCTTCATTCGCATGTTTTGTACTATCATTCCCATTCATTATGTTTTATAAAATTAATCACCATTGAACTATGCTCATCATTAACCCTGTCTTTCCAGATCCCTGCCAAATCTTTTCCATTTTTTTTACCAACCCTTCACCCACTCACCAGATTGTGCAACCCTATGATTCTCCTCTGCCCATCTTCATGCCTCTGCTCTCTCCACTTGGATCTTAAGACATATTTTATTAGTTATCTTTATATTCTATAATAATGGTCCTATGCAGTATTTGTCTTTATGAGACTGAGTTGGTTCACTCAGCATAATGCTCCCCAGTTTCTCCCAAGTTATGCAGTAATTTTTGAAATCACTGCTCCTGAGTGCTGTATAGTATTCCTTGTGTGAATGTACCACAGTTTCTCAATTCATTCAATTGTGTTCGCACATTTGGGCTATTTCCATGTTATTGTGATTGTGAATAATACTGCTATGAAGATTGATTTTATTTGTGTTTCAGTTCTAATTTTCTTAGGGTATATTTCTAGCAATGGGATAGCTGAGTCATATGGAATTTCTATGGTCAGTTTTTTGAGGAAATGCCAAACTGCATTCTAGAATTGTTGTACCATTTTACAATCCCACCAACAGTGTATGAAAATTTCTCTCTCCAAAGTCACTCTTGGCACCAGCAGCCAAGAAATTAAAAGACATATTATGATGGGAAAGTCTGCTGTTAGGGACCTTTCCAGAGTATTGAAGAGCAATGGTGTCACTCTAGAGACTAAAGTGTGCTTGATACAGACAATGGTCTTTGCAATCACTTGTTATGCATCAGAGATCTGGACAATGACCAGGGATGATAGAAGGAGAATTGATGCCTTTGAACTGTGGTGCTGGAGAAAAGTATTGAATACACCATGGACTGCTAAGAAAATAAACAGGTTCATCCTGGAGAAGGTTAAACCAGGCTTCTCTTTGGAGGCAAGGATTCTTAAGCTTCGTCTGACATACTTTGGACATGTTGCAAGGAGGGACCAGTCCTTGGAAGGGGATGTCATGCTTGGGAGGGTGAAGGGACAGCACAGGAGAGAAAGACCCTCTTTGAGATGGATTGATTTAATGACTGGAGTAGTGGGGGTGAGTGTGTTAGAGACAGTTGGATTGGCACAGGACAGAGCGTGATTTAGGGCTGTTGTGCATAGGGTCGCTATGGCAAGTGACTCAACGGCACATAACAACAACAACCATATATTTCCTAACATTTATAGTTTGCTGTCCTGTTAAACTTTGTCACTGTTCTGTTAGGTAGTATCTCACTGTGGCTTCAATTTGTATCTTTCCTACTTCCAGTTATTTTTGAGCATTTCTTCATGTGTCTGTTGGCCATTCGTATGTCTGCATTCCTTAATTTTTGTTCAAATGACTGTCTCTTGGTTCATGCAGAAGTTTGACAAGATCACAATTAAGTGTCCTGGAATTCTTTGCAGTGTTATGCATAGTTTATAATTCACACAGTTGACTGTCTTCACAGAATTGATAAAATACAGGCAGACACCTTTCTGGCATTCTCAGCTTTTGGCCAAGATCTACCTGCCATTAGCAGTGATGACGCTCACACACCTTCTGTTCTGCATCCCTTATACAACAGCCACTAGATGGCGATATTTCCTAGCAGTTATCCTCAATCAGGCTCACATTTCTTTCCCCATCCCGAAAATTCTTCTTAAAAGTAGAAATGTTATAAAAGGCAATAACATATCATATTTCATATAATAAGAGTAAAAAACACATGAATTTAAAAAAAATTATAACTAAAAAAGTGTACAATATCAATTTATTTGTTCAGTCACTTAGTCTATTTCAAGAATTTCTAACTTCTTAGAACTGGTTAGAATCTTCCCAGTAAATCCCACCAGTTACCCTCCTCCTTCTCTGCAATGCTTCCACACTGATGTCAGCCTGCATGATGTGATCACTGTGTATGCATTACACAGACTTTCTAAGTATCTTTAAAAGGGTCTTTTCTCTAAATATACTATAATCGCATCACCCTACACAGGTATTTTGTTCTCTTTCTCTTAAAAACTAAACTGAAGACATTTTGGTCATTGTGACAGGTTCACTGATAATAACTTTTCAACCAAAATGTTTAAATGTTCACCAGCTGTTACATCAGAGCCAGCAATAATTCATTCTTACTTAGGTCCTTATTTCGAAAGCTGTCTGCTTTTAGACAAACTCTTCTCCACCTCAGTCTTGTCACTTGGTCATAATAGCAGTCTAGATTCCTTCATGAACAATTTGCTTCCCCCTTATGCTACATTCTTTTCATTGACTGTCATAATTTCCATTGCCGTTACAGAAATATCATAGATGGAAAGGCATGGCAGCTTCATCGTTGCAACTCTGGGTGGTAGACTCCATCCTCCTGACCAAACTTAATGGCAACTCCACACTTCAGAACTAGCTTGGTTGAGAACCTGCCTCTTTGATTTCTGAGAAGTCATGGCTGTACCCTTTGAGACCCTAGAAGTCCAGAGGTCTCATCCTTTAAGACCTAGTCAGCTTTGCCTTCCAGGCACCTTTCAATAGTTCTCTTGAGCTCCACAATGCTCCAAGGACTATCCTTTTGTTTTTCTTTAAGGACAGGAGAGGAACTCCTTTGGCTCTCCCTGCTTATGGAATCCCAATAGGCAGATAGAGTTCTCTCCTTTCTCTGATTCTCTGTGTACTCCACTCTAAGTTCATAAATTTTCTGCTATGGCAGTTGGTAAGATCCAGCTCAGTGTCTTTAACAAAAGATTGTGAAGACATGTTCCTGATAAAAATCCTAGAACCTTTTACTTCCATACTAGTTCATTTGTAGGAAATGTAGGACAAGTTCTTTCTTTTCACATCATATCATGCAGCTAAGAGAAATCACACTCTCCCTTGAAGATCTTGCTTAGAAATCTCTTCAGCCGGATAAAGGTCACCAATTCTACCAAACTTCCACCACGATTTCCACAGTTTTACCTGTCATCAAATATTTGACTATAACTAATTGGGGTCCATCTGATTCAGTCCATAGTCTTTTTGATCACTTGCTATGCATCTGAGAGCTGGACAATGGATAAGGATGACATAAAAAGAATTGACACCTTTGAGCTGAGGTGCTGGAGAAGAGCACTGAACATTTGTCCCATGGATGAGTAAGAGATGTCTTGGAGAGGGTGCATCCAGAGTGCTCTTTGGAGGCAAGAATGATAAAGCTTCACCCACATACTTTGGACATGTTGCTAGGACGCTCTGTTCTTTGGAGAAGGACATGATGCTGGGAAGGGTGGAGGGTCAGTGAAGGAAAGGAAGACCCTCAACCAGGTAGACTGA